TTAACCATTGCATTTTCTTAGGATTAAATCTCTTTGATTCAGTAAATACAGCATACAAAAGCAGAAGGATTATATCAAAATTAAACTTGTTCATTCACACAAAAATGGATAAAGAAAACAGCATAATACATACAACTAGTGTAACATTAATAGTAATGTTATACTTATCCAATTTCTTCATATTTTAACCTCAAACTATACAGAAGATATTTTCAGATTATTTAGTTTTTACAAATGTTCATCTCTAATATTTCCATGAAAATTTTACATTTATTTGTATTAATGTGTATTTATAATTTATTTGTGTATATTCTATTTTACTGATCTTTTTACTCCAAAAGTTGACATCTTGAATTTTGTTTGCAAATGGTTGGAATTAGGAAAAGCTATCCTCAGTGAGGTAATCCAGATCTAAAAAAATGAATATGGTATTTACTTACTCATAAGTGGATACTAGATATAAACAAAGGATATTGAGCCTATGTTTCATGATCCTAGAGTGGTGTGGGAGAATTGTCTGTATTCTGTCAATCATGCTTTAAATAAACGCTGATTGGCCAGACAAGAAGTATAGGTGGGTAAACCACACAGGAAGTAGAAATGATGCAAAGAGAACAGGAAAATTCTGGGAAGGTGGACGTTGGTTCCCCCACTCCTGTCCAGATCACCAAAACAGCAGGATGTGATCTGCCCCACTGAAAAAGATACTGAGCCACATGGCTAAAATACATAAAAATGTTTTTTTTATGTATTTTAGCCAATATATAATGGGCCAATCAGCTTATAATTTATGGAGACCTATGTGTGATTTTCTTTGGGGCTAAACAGCTGTGAAAACCTAGCAGGAAAAAAAAAAAACAACAACAAGCAAGCCCCCTTCATGTTACACTAGAGAAGTTAAGTAATAAGTGAACCCTAAGAAAAATATATATAGATTCACCTAGAAAGTAGAAACAGACAGGATCACCTGGTGAAACTGGGAGTGTTGGGGTGGAAGGAGAAGGGAGGGTGGAAAAGGAAGAGGATTGTGGAATGGGAGGAGTGATAAGAACTTGAAAGGAATGTGATAGTTGAAACAAGGAAAGACAGAGATGAGAACAAGGAAATAGAAATCTTGATTGTGGGAGCCATTATAGGGTTAGCAAGAAACCTGGCTCTAGAGAAATTCCCAGGAATCCACAAGGATGACCCCAGTTAAGATCCTAAGCAATAGTGGATAGGAGGCCCGATTCTCACTTGACCTGTAGTCAGATTGATGAATATCTTAAATATCACCATATATCCTTCATCCAGCAACTGGAGGAAACAGAGGGAGAGACCCTCATCAGAGCACTGGACTGAGGCTCCCAAAGTCCAGTTGAAGAGTGGGAGGGATGATAATATGAGCAAAGGGGACAAGACCATGATGGGTACACCCACTGAAACAGTTTACCTGAGCTAATGGGAGCTCATCAACTCCAGCTGGACTAGGAAGGAACAAGCATAGGACCAAAGTAGTCTCTTTGAATGTGTTTGACAGTTGCTTGGCTGGGCACACTTGGGGTCCCTCGCAGTGGCACCAGGATTTATCCCTACTGCATGTACCGACTTTTTGGAAACCTATTCTCTTTGGAGGATATCTTGCTGAGCATTATATACATACATACATACATACATACATACATACATACATATAATCAGGGAGGGCCCTGGACCTTCCCAAAAGCAACGTGCCTTATTCTCTCTGAGGATTGGATGAAGGTGTGATATGAGAGTATGTGGAGGGAATGGAAGAAGTAGAAGGAGTGGGAACTTGATTAGTATGTTTAATGAAGAAAAATATTTTTTAAAAAAAAACACTCCATTGTCAAAGTTCTGATTACTAGTAAAAGTTTAGATAAAAATCCTGAAAATTATATAGTATAATTACATAATTATATTCATAGAAAGATGATAAATACACAGTAGAGCGTTTTCTGACCTTTTGCTTTATATATTTTTGCATTTGCAAACAGTTTCAGAGTTCAACAGTAACAAATGTCCAAGTGGTACTTATGCCTCTCCTTGATTATCAAGTGTTTGTGATGCCTAACTACAATTATTTTTATTAATAACTGTTAATACAATGTTAGATTGAAAATCACATAAAACACACAGTCTTTTACCTAATTAAATGATGATTACATTTAGTAGTATACATTTCATTTTTTTTATTATTCTGACAATGTTATTCTAAATCCTCCTTGAAATGTCAGAAACACACAGTGACTTGTGTCTGTATTTTTATACAATTATCTTATACACTGAAGTCAGTTCTTTCAATTTATACACTTAAGTCAGATCTTTCAATTTATTTAGATATATGGAAAGTAAAATGTCAATTTATTATAATATTAAATTAGATCGAATTATAATACTAGAGAACATCAAACTATCATCATCAGAAAATATGAGATTGGAGCATATATTGATGTTGAAGTAACACTGTCGTTCTTTATATGGTAGCATAAGTTGTCATGTGCCAACAATTTAAATAAAGTTTAGAAATCATTTTAGTAGCTGGGCGGTGATGGTGCTCAAATCCCAGCACTTGGAGGCAGAGCCAGGTGGAACTCTGTGAGTTTAAGGACAGCCTAGGTTACAAGAGCTAGTTCCAGGACAGGATACAAAGCCACAGAGAAAGCCTGTTTTGAAAAAAAAATCAAAGCAAATAAATAAATAAATAAATCATTTTAGGAATGCTTTTCATATGGTGAGGTCCCAAGATTAAAATTATTTTAAAAGAACATATATTATTTCACACATTTTCAGTAAAATAAAATTTTATTTGAAGTTGTAAAATGCATTTCTGATGAATGGGACATATTCAGAGTGCCTGGCCATATCTCCTTATATAACTTATTTCAATATTGAGCAGATGAAAATTACCAAAAACACAATTTATGCCAACCAGCTATGCATTTCCATGTGGTAATAACTAGAGTTATTAAGAAGAAAGAATCAGGGTTCACACCAGGCTCTCAGCAATAATGTAACACAGGAAGAAAAATTTTATTTTGAAAAGATCATAGTCTTAATGACAGAGGTAGAGTTAGGAAGAAAAGCAAACGTGCCCTTATTGTGACTGAAGGTGACAATATTTTATGCTGCGTGTTTGATCTTACCTTATATTGTAAAAATTAGAACTTCATTGATCTGAAACCTACAATATTTTATTTTAATGAAAATTTGGACATTTAAACATCTAATACAGCATGGCTTTCTTGCTAAGTTGGCTCAGTGACAGTTAACAGAGGAAATATGACCATGTTTTTAAATAGCTTTAGGAGGCTGAACTGACCTCTGGTATTGAATGTTCCATGTTTCTTTTCAGTGAGAAGGAAGGTTTGTGCATTTTCAAAAACTGACAATGTCACAAAGGAAGTAAAGAATAGTTATTCTCTGAACCTTGAAAGTGACTTTTGTGTGGCGTGTAGGAAAATAGGGTGAGCATTTACCTAGTGGAACATTTCAGTTTCCCAGTACAAAGCTATGGTATAAGGTAGCCTTTTTTTTTCTGAGAATTTCAGGTAAGTTAAATCCATATGCACTCTTGGAAAAGACATTTTATTATAACAAGAAAAATGTGTTTATCTGGAGTGGAGTGATTAGATCATTTGCCAAAGAGCATTACGGTTTCTGATAACGTTTACAGGTCACTTGTTCTTTTCAAATCTCAATAAAAGTAAGCTTGCTCGAATGAAACTTCACCTGAACTGGTGAGACTGACTGTCAAGAGTAAAGTGTGAAGTACTCTGTGAAATATTTTAAACACTTACATTCATAAAAAGAAAGAATGGAATGGAATTGTAAATGATTATTATGTTCATTGAAAAGTTTTAAAGATGAGTATAGAAATTTATTGATTTTCATTGAATACTAAAGATTATGCTGTAAATTTGTTCATATTTTTATATCAAAATAATGTCACGACAGAAGAACTGTCCAATAGTAATATGAACATTCTCTTTAAATGTCATTAAAATTTGAAAATTCAATTCTATTGGGGCGTGATATTTTATATATAAATCATGTTGTAGCACAAATAACAAAAACCCAGAGAAAGATACTGGGGTTCATCCCAAAGATCAGAAAAACAAAGGAGCCAAGCACCAGAAAGGCCTTTTGCTTTTATCAGATCTTCAGACCAAAAGGGCAAGAGTCTATCTCTATGAACCCTCTAACCCCACATTGTTGTGAGTCCCTGTCTCCTCCCCTTTATATTCCTCTCTCCACCATTCCTCTCTCCAGGAAGTCACATCTCTCCTGTCTCCATCTCCCTACCGCTGGGAATAAAGTTATGTGACTCCCAAACACTGGAATTAAAGGTGTGAAAGGCCACCACTTGGATCTATTTCTTGATCAATCTTGTGAATCCCAAGGTATCATTGAAGTCACATATATATGTCTGTCTTAGTCTCCTGAGTCCTGGGATTAAAGCTGTCTGTTACCACCCCCAACCTGTATGGCTGACTAGTATGACTACTCCGCCTCTGTTTAGGCAAGCTTTATTTAATCATACACAAATAATATACCACCATATCATGTGACATGGAAATTTATATGTCTCTTTTTCAACATATATATAATGAAAATAAACTAATTTTACCTAATATTAGATAATAATAACCTTTTATAAAATATATATTTTATGACAAAGATGCCTTTAAATGTCTGTATTTTAAAGTATTATACATGTATATTAATTAAAACATTTTGTAAGATGGGTGTTTACATGTACTTTTATGCACACATACTTTATATCAGTTTTTTAATCTGGCTTTTATTATGAAACTTTAAAAATTATCATTCTACGTTGAATTCCTAAGTTAGAATGTCTAACACACAAAAAAAAACTTGATGGTTGGAAAACAATATTATTCCATTGATTCATGTACAAGAATTACAGTGATAAATAAATACTTAAATTATAAATTAAGGAACATTTATAAACTAAAATTGATGTATTCCCACCTAGGAGTGTACTCTCTTCAGCAGCATGTATACTATAATTGGAACAATATGGAAAAGATTAGCATAGCCCTTGTGCTAGAATGTTACACAAATTCATGAAACATTCATAGTTTTAAAAATATCTAGGAAATTTACTAACAAAATCATTACCCTTGTTCAACATAAATTTAGACTGAGATTCATCTAAAGCACAGAAAATGTTAGGAAATTTTAACTCTAACAATTTGATAGTTTGTAATACATTTAAAAATAGCATATATATGCTATGGTTTATTAATTACATTTAATTTAATGTATGTATATATGTTCTCATTTAAATGGATTGATTTACAATCAATGTGTAATTGTAAAAATTAAATGAAGCATTTACAAGTCTTTAAGCCTTTTAACACTCAAAACTACTATGGTATTTTTTTTCTAATGCTTCAACTGTAATTTGAAGACATAAGTATCATTTATATTTATAATATGTAATGTAAAGAACATTTTTAACTTTGTGAGCAATTAATTTATTAAAAAACAATAAAATATTCAATTGTTAAATTTTATAATCGTTAAAATTGAAATATAACTAAATAATATGTTTGATTTAGAAGTGATTTTAAAGCTAAAACATATTATACATCATAAGAATATTTATGAAACAAAAAATAATAACTCTATGTTCCATTATGTATAATAATGTTAAATATTTGGTGAAACAATGATTTTACTACTATAGTATCTTGAAAATAGAAAACTCTCATAAATAGAATCATATTTTAACATAGGATTGTCTACCAGCATAGCTTGGTTCATGTGCTACTCATGGGAAGAGACTGTCTGTCAGTTAGCAGACATACCGTAATAATTGTTAAAATGAATGTCATAGACTAAGCCAAACATGATAGAAGGAATATTGATGCCATTAGGAATATTGATTATAGCCATGTCAAGAAATTTAAAAAGCCCAAGTTCTTTCCCCAGGTGTTCAGGTTTTATTATTATAATAGGGCAGCGACATTGAAGTGACGTGAAGTGTCAGGGCTCCAGACATTAATCAGGTAATTGGAGATATTCTCAATTCACTTCAAGTATATTATTCCACATGCTTCTCTGTTAATATTATGAAATCCATCAGTACTATTCATCCAACATCTTCAGTCCTTGCTTTAGATGGTTTTAAAGGAATTGCTCTAATGGTTCGCTCCTAAGGAAGCTAGAGTTTTCAATATGAGATGTTTCTGCAAATGAATTGGGGGTGGAACAAATCCATCACTTACAGCCAGAAGTGTCAAAAATGGTAAGTTTTTATATTTTATTTTTCCCTATTCTGATGGGCTTAACTTAGAACTTTTAAGTAAAAGAAATAATTTGCTCTTTTTGTTTGACGGTTTGTTTGCTTTGGTTGTTGTTTTTTCCCATCATGTAGTGAGAGGTACTATTAAACTTCTATTGCTACTTTTGTTGGATTCTGGAAACTTTTTTATTGAAAAAAATCCTAATTACAGTACATTATTTAAGAAATTGAACTAAAAATTAAAAACAAAATATGAAAAAAGAGATTGTTCTCAAAGTTCATATCTATCTGGGTTGGTTGTGTATATTTATGGATGGATTCTCAAGTAATCAAGCTTATAAAAATAATTAATGATACCATCCTACTTAATAATTCATATATGTAATAGTTTACCATGTATGTCTATGGCAATAAATTAAATTAAAATTACTGTAATTGTGACAGCTGAAAAATAAGCTAAGAAAATAACTCTTATTTACAAACCTGAATAAATATGTGTTTATCTGTTTCTGTTACTTAGCTATTCACAAACCTTCCTATTAATTCCTTAAATCCAAGTGATTAGTATGGATTATAAGTATCAACACATCCATATACACATTTTCAGGGCTCTTGGCTTTTTGAAAATTAGCTTTCTTTTGGTATAAATATTGTTTCTTAATAACAGACATGTCTTTATAAAACTAATGCCATAAATTTCTTACCAGAGTGATAAAAATCTTGATTTTGCTTCTTTTAAAATTGTTTCATTTAGTTTATTTTCTATGCATGGATGTTTTCCTGCAGGTATGCCTATTTGATGCATACACACTATGCTAGAGAATGCCATAAGAGGCCAGAAGATCCTTTGGAACTGTTTTTATAGACACTTGTGAACCAAAATGTGATGTTGGAATTCACTTGAGTCCTCTGGTTGAACAACCAAAGATCTTTCTGCTAGCCTTCTTTGCAGTCCTTAAAATGTTAGATTTCTTTTTGTTGATTTTATGGTTTCAATAACTTGTCTTAAAATTATTTAATTAAATGGTTTACTATGTCATTTTCTAGGTTACAAATTTTAAGAAGTTTAATAGGCATGTCAGGGAAAATAACATGTTCATTGTTGTGCAATACATTGCTAAGGACTAAGAAATAATTAAATAATTAAGGTGTGCTGTAAAAGTCTGATTTGTGAAATAGAAAATTTACCTTAACATAATATATCAAGACTCTAGTGCTTCTGCAGTACTCAAGGATGGAGACGATGGAGTAGATGTCTTGCGTTCGGGACAGAGTTAGTGAAATACACAGAAAAAACAGGAGCTTCTAGGGGCTGTAGACTGTGCCCTAGGAATGAAAGGAATTTGTGAGCCTATTAGTCTTTGATTAAGTCATGCTAGTAGCTTTGTGTAAATATCTTACTTCAAGAAAAATTCAAACTTGACATTAATTGATTAGAAGAAAATGCCACTATTTCAGGATTATAATGATTCTTATCTTTTGTGTTAAATTAATACTTATCAAATTTTTCAACAATCAAGAAAGAGAAAAACAAGTGTTAGGATTCTTTCATCTTAATTATTTAAGATGAAATTTATTATGGCATCCCTCCCACCTGGACCAGACAAGTGCCAGTATGATAAAGTGCTGTGTGCTGAAGAAATGGGAGAGAAGAAGCCCAACTGAAGACTCAAAGCTGTTAGGAATAGGCTGATCTGCATGCCCTGCACTATTGCCTGGGGCCATGATGATTCTGAGCCTCAGTGGTAGTCAAGGGTCATTTGTGGTTCCCTGTCCCTACAACAGATGCACCTATGCTGATGGCCTTGGCCCATGTGACCACCAAAGGCTGAGAATATGCTTCTAGTCTGTGCCCCAGCCTGATGCTGGTATGTCGATGTCTGAAGACCATATTGCCATTGGGTCCATGTTCATCTGAATGTGCTGATTGCTACCCCGGGCAATAGTGATGTTGTTGACTGAACTTTGACTGACAGTCATACCTGGGTTCATGCTCTTATTTCAGTCAGGGTCTATGCTGATATCTGTGCCTGGGTTACTTCTGGAGACCATGGGAAATCAGGGCCCTGGTAGCTTGTGCACTTGAGAACTTGAGAATTGGTCCCTTCCCTCACCATTCACCTCAGGGGAGAGCTGATCCCCTTTCTTGGAGAAGTGGCCCTAACTGCTTGGGCACAGGATAGCCAGCCCCCAAACCTCAATGGCCTTGGGAAAACTGACCCTATTATTGGCTGCCCCAAAGGGAGACTTGATGCCACTCCTCAACATACATGTGAGAGAGATGGCCCTGATGCCATGTGCTTGGAATATCTGGTCTGGACCCTCGCTTGAGGGTGGCAATTCCAATGGAGTAGTGGAAAGAACAGCTCAGATATTACCCAAACCCACATTCAAGGATTTGAATTGGCCCACCCCAACACATACCCTATCTGTGACCTGCTGAAGTTCATGAAGTTATCTGTGTTCTATGGAACCATATCACCTGAATCTTCATGACTTTGGGCAAAAGAAGAATATTTGAGAAAAGTTTAGATGAAGGCGCTAGTATAAATGGTGTATCGTAAGTCAGAGGCTTTGAATCATACCAACAAATCATTGCAATAAACATTTGCAAGTAAGGTTGTTTGTCTAAAGTGTATAATGCACGACATACGGCAGCTCCTAAGGCCTTTAAGGCAGATGACATGTGATGGATAAATAGGAAATATGGAGAAGTGAAATGGTTTTCTTTCTTTTTTAAAATACTCTTTTTTTTTTGGTGGGGGAGAGGCTGCAAGAGTAGAAGACTGGAAAATGAGTGGGATCAGGGTGCATACTATGAACTCCCAAGGAATCAATAAAAATAATTGTGTTAATAAAAATACTATGACAATTCTAAATCCAGAAATTCTATTTTGGTTAATGGTGTAGAATGTCAAAAATACATATTTACCATCTAAAAATTGAGGAGGAAATGTTTTAGAAATAAGTTTATGACATGAAATACCAGAAGAAAAATATGCTTTTACATATTAAATGCATTTCTCTACAGAGTTGGATTGAAACATCCCCTCCAAGCTGTGTGGTTGTGTCAAGGATTCATACAGGTGAAATTAAAAACTTACAAGAAAAATAGTCAGAAAAAAATTATCTAAATCCCATCTGTTTGCTATGCTATGATAAAACCCTGTGTAAACAATCAATTTTAGACATTTTGTCTGAGAATTTTAGTACAAACACAAAAACACTGAAGTTAAAATTAACTCCTATTAAGATATTCTATTCTTTAAGAACTGCAGAAAAATGTTTTTTTACCACAAAATTACTGTTTGTTGTGCATATAAATTGGACTTAAAAGAGAAGTTAATTTTAACTGTTTAATTGTTTCACTAAATATGTTTCATTGAACTTCATCTTGTGATATCCTAAGGGCAGAATTAACATGTTTTCGCTAAGTTTTGCTTTCATGAGAAAGGTATTCTTTGAAGTTAAACATTATATTTCTTCTTTCATATTCATTTAGGATAGCACATAGCATTCTTTCTAGTAGAATCTCCAGTTTTATATTGGAAAATAAGAGGTATTATTGTACTAAGTTTCTACCAACAGCATCATCTCCTATTACCAATTTTATAGGCAGAATGATATTGTCCTGCCAAAGAAATATGCAATTTAATAGTGAGTGACTTCCTAACATAAAGATCATCCTCCATTCTGTGTCATGTGAAAATTCATGTTGGGACCATAAACATGCCACAGATTACATGGTAGGCATAACTGCCAACACTAAATGAGACAGAGTTCAGACTTAATGAAGATCATTTATCTCTTACAGACAACCCAAAGTTAATATTAAT